AGTGAAGTGTTCACAAACAACAAAACGTCAAGCAAACAGAGCCCCCATGCAATTTTTTGTGAATCCTCATGAAAATGTTTGAGGAACCCTACCCACCCACACCTTGAATGGTAGAAGTTGCGGTAAGCAATAACTTGACATCAGGCAAGATTGATGCAAGTGACTCACCAAAAGATTTTTGGATTGATCACGTTGTGATGAATGACTGAATTGGCCAAAAATGTGTAAACATTTGGACATGCCAAAAAATAAAAGTCACACAAGTTTGTGATTCAGGAGTTGTCTGAAGATACATATGTCAGATTGAATTAGACAACCTCTAGAGAAAATGCCAGGGGCTTGAGCAGCTTTTTTGTGGGCTTCAGCTTAATGAATAAGCAGCACAAAAATTTGCTTTCTTTGGAAATAAGGCTTTCATCTTCTTCGAAGAGTTTCAGCTTTCCTGAGAGTGGCATGTCCTGTGAGTGTTTGGGTCCAAGTCACGTCCGCCACTGTTGCTGTGCATATTAATACCTCCTGCTCGCCAGCACTTGTGCTCATCAATTTGAATGCCAGCAGACCGAAGTCGGGCACAGATATCCCAAGCGTCAGTTAGCCATTGCATACCAGTGGTGGTGTCTCCGGCCATTGTTGTATCGTCTACATATCCTTGGACAGTGAGCATGCCAGGGATGCGATTAAGATAGGTAAGGACAGGGTCCATGGCAACACAGAAGAGGAGAACCGAGAAGGATCGCCCCATGTCGACTCCGGTGACGATCATTTTAGGTGGCAAGAGTTTACCTTGGACTTTGTGTCGGCATCGACGATAGAGAAGGATGTGCCGGGTATAAGTGATGACCCAAAGCGGCGCTTTGCACGCAGTGAGGATTTGCATGATCCAGTGAGGGTTTATGCGTTCAAATGCTTTGGAGAGATCAAGGGAGAGAACGGCACATGGTAGCAATTGATCAAGCATGGCTTGGACGGACTGAACAGCTCCTTGTGGTTCACGGAAAAGGTTGAGGACAGTTTGTGACGGATGCAAGAGAGGGGCAATAGCTCTCGTGAGGACCATAGCGATACTTCCATCTATGACTCTTTCAAAGGTAGACGGCATGCCTAGCGGCCTAACGTTGTCAGCCGTGTGTCCCATTTTGGCTTTGGGGATCCAAGATTGTACCGAGCAAGGTGGTGGGACGACAGCTCGGCAAATGTCTTCAAGATGAGTGGTCATGGCTTCAGCTGCAGTAGTAGGTCGAAGTCTCCACGCTGCATAAGGGATGCCATCTGGGCCTGGGGCAGAGTCGTTGGTAGCTAGGATGGACTTTACGAGGTCATCCTGTTTGGGCGGGTACACGTGGGGCCATGCCGTGACCTGTTGTTTATACTGTGCAAGATAGCTGGTCCATTCCGGATCGTACGACACCGGAGGTTCAAACCAAAACTGTCGGGTGGCGAGCATGGCTGCTGATAAATCAAGGTCAGTGCGACACTGATTACCTGCTCCATCAATAATTGGTCCATTGTAAAATACCGACTTGTGGCAGCTAGATCGGAGACGCTGCCATAATGGGGCACTGGTTCCCAATCCGCGACCTCGGTTGGATTCCTCTCTGTTTCGCATGATAGTATGTTGTTGTTGGATTTGTAGGTCAAGGAGCTCGAAGCACTTCCAAAGGAAGGTCCGAGGCAGGGTAATGGTGGTAGCCGACTGACAGAATTCCGTGAGTGTGGGCGAGAAGCCAGGCAGCGCAGCAAGTAGTTCATTGACTAATCGTTTGGACAGGTTTAAGAGAGGGTGTTCTTTTTGAAGGTGTTTGCGGAGGGTATTGAAGTCCCTGGGTCTTCGTGGTAAGGACATCCACCATTGCCAGATATAGTGACGGACTGAAACTTAGAACCTTGTTTTGGAAGTTTTCCATACCCCGAAAAAGTACCCGGAACTACCCGCTCAGATTTGGGTAAAATTGATAAAAATTATGATATTTTTACGTTTTGCGAAACTGTTCACGGTAATCAGAACTTAGAACCACTACGAAAAATGGTGCTCGGAGAGCAAAAATTAATACCCTCTCGCAGTTTTTTACCCGAAAAGTAGCCGTAAAACTAGCTGAGTAATATGATGTGTTGTTTGATGGATTGAACGAAAGATTCTACCTAAAATCATCATAAATGGGTAGTACATGTCACTGTATAAAGCATCCCCAAATGATAGGTTTATTCTTGGGTTTGCCATGGTTTGCCACATGAATGTGCTTGTTTGTTGTCAGAAAGCATGGCCAAACTCGCAACCGCCCCTTGCCGTTTCTATTTGCACAGTCAGAAAGGTGGATGAAGGCATGACAAGGTAAAACATGCGTGCAAATTGCAGACAGCAATTGCAAGGATTAGGTCTGATTAAGAATTTCTTGTTTGGTCCTGCTTTTTTTGGACCGTTCAACTGCATTTCAACAAATTCAGGGGCGTATCCAGAGCCATGGCGGCACTTGAAGAAGTGCCAAAATTCCTTGAAAAGGCGTTGCTAAAGGGCGCCCCGAAAGGGAAGGGGAAACCCAAAGCCCTTCTTCCCGCTTCCGACGAGCCCGTTGTGGGGGAGGAGAAAAGTGACGACGAACCACCCCAGCCATCGTCTTCAACCATCAAAAGTTTTCCCGCCCATGGTAGTGAGAAGCTTCTTGAATGAATGCTCACAGTTTGTTTTGAGATGTTTTGAGAGACGCCCCCCTTGGGTTTGACATTGTGATTCCCGTTCTGTATTTGCGGTTGTTGCTGCGATTTTGCCCGGTTTGACAAAGGTCGATCGAAGCAGCCAAACTGCCCCCTGAAATCAAAATGTACCAACGCTGGAAGCTTGTCGACAGAGGGCGCATTCGGGTTGGAACCCTGCTGGAATCATTCTAACATATTATCAGCTTTGGTGATAACAAGCTTTTGCTATGGAATATTCATATATATATATATATGTATTTTTTAGTATATATATATATATGTATTTATATATATATAATTCCAATAAGTTAGTAGTAGATGTGCTAGGTATATAGCTGGCCAGAGGAGAAAAAAAGAGTTGTTTTCGCCTGTTTGCATATGGTAGTTGCTGTGATAGAGGATTTGCTTCTTCCACTTGCATAGATATACATGGATGGAAACATGTCGTAAAACAACGGAACTGTTTGTGCCCCGGGTGCCTAGACAGCTCAATGTGGCAGGTTCTAAGTTAGAGGAAAATCAAAACAGTTTTATTCTACATGCGTTTGTTCATGTGGACCTACTCCTGCCAGGACCGAGAGTCGTGGATGGAGGAAAAGAAGTTGACTTTGAAGGGAAAGACTGTTGCAGACAAAGTGAACGCATTGCAGAGTGTTTGCATAGAAGGACGGGTAGGTCGGGTAGGTGTCTCGCAAAAGATGTTGTTTTTGTATTGTTTATATATATATATATATTGTATGTACAGGTGAGAAAGCACAAGCGGGATCCATAGGGGTCTGCGTCGTCCATTTTGTTTCTGGGGTTTGTGTGTCTCTCTCTCTCTCTCTCTCGCTCGCTCGCTCTCCCTCTCTCTCCCTCTTCCCTCTCCCTCTCCCTCTCCTCTCGCCTCTCCCTCTCCCTCCCCCTCCCCTCCCCCTCCCCTCCCCTCCCCTCCCCCCCCCTCTCGCTCTCGCTCTCGCTCTTCTATCTCTCTCTCCTCTCTCTCTCTCTCTCCCTCTCTCTCTCTCTCTCGTTTAATGTACTTGTTCATTGTGTTTTGCAAGGAACTTCTTTGTGTTTCTATTCCATTTTGGCTCAAGGACTTTCATTTGTGCGTATACATTTTTCGTTTTTGTCTGCTCAGCCAACAGTTTTCTTTTGGACATCTGTAGCAGGCATTAACATTGATCAGTTGCGTTTTTCCGGTCATGCAGATATTTTCAGAGTTTCACGTTTTTCGTTTTGGAGTCACAGACACCGGGCGGTCCCGGGCGGCATGGACGGAGCGACGGTCTCGGTGTTATCACTAGAACAGTTGATTACTGCACTTCTCCTCATTGTCAACGAGTTGTGCCATCGTTTTCGTATCCCTTTATCTTCAGCATCATCTGTACCATTACAAACCACACCTGATTTGGAAAATCCTTCAGGGTCACCCATCCCCGAACGTGGATCGTGTGGTGCAAAGTGTCGCTGGTGTGATTTACCCTGTGGACGTGCAAAGCCGGGTCATACGGGGCATAGTTGCTATACACATCGGCATTGGCGTGATGGATAATTCCATGGATGGTTGGTCACTGGTACAGAGTGTTGAGGGTTCGGGGGACACGAGTTCAGTGATTTCACCGCCGTTGCAATCCAGGCCGAAGTCTGCTCCATTGCAGCGGGCACCCCTACAGCAAGGTCCTCGCCTGGTGTCTCCATTCCAAGTGTCTGCATTGCATCCGGTGGTCACGAGCACTATGGGGTGTTCGGGACAGTCTTCAGCTCAGCGACATCCAGGTATCCTGAGGGTTTCAGATTTAAACCAGGGGGTTAATGTTCCTCCCCCCCATCCATGTCCTGTTGATTCTATTCGCATTGTACCTGGGGTTACTCCTTTGCAAATTCCCCCAGAAAATTTACCTGTGATTCGGAGCTGGACGACGTTGCAGCAGAGAGTTGCACTACCTCAGCCTCAAGGATGTTTGGGTTATTCCGAGTCAGTACCAGTTGATTTTGTGCCTAATCGGCCTTCTCCAACGTTACTGCATCCTCCCAGACGTCAATCAGGGGCTATTAGCAGAGTTCGTTTTTCTAGTGCTTCACCGGTGCTCTGTCAGATGTGGTTTGATTTGTTATCACAGCTGGGCCCACTATCCAGAATTTGGCAAGAGACGAGTATGTCACAGCATCAACGTATGCATTTGAACCGAATTTTGGACAATGTGGCACCGGGCACGGCTATGAAGTATATTTCCAGTTGCAAGTCCTTTTTCAAGACCTGCAAAGCGTTGCAAGTGGATCTGATATCCCTTACTGAGGTTCAATTGGCAGACATTTTAATCACAATGTCACTGTCGAGATCTACATCTCATGGCAGTAGTTCTTGCAGTTCGGTCATCAAAGCACTTCGATGGCTATTGAAATCAGCAGAGGTTGGATGTTTACAGGTGGTGCATTCAGTTCTTATTGGAACCTTTCTGAACCAGAAGGCGCCCAGGGATAGGAAACAAGCACCTCCTCTGCCTCTGTGGGCATTGGTGCAGTGGGAGCGTCGTGTGCTCATGTCCAACTGCACGGTATTAGAAATCATTCTACTGGGTACATTTTTATTGATGGCCTGGGGATCCCTTCGTTTTTCCGATGCGCAAAGGTTAGACCTCCAAAAAATCATCTATCACGATGGTACCATGCGAGGGGTGATATGGCGCTCCAAGACAGCAGTCAGCGGCATGCCCCTAGCAGTGGCGGCGGAGGGTTTCCTCAGCAAAGGCTCCCACAACTGGCTGTGGAAGTTCTTGACCGTTTTGGATACGGTATTGGCCAAATCAGGCCTCTCCGATGTTGATTTTCTTCTTCCACTGATGGATGAGGATGGACCAGTTTATCCATTGCAACCGATGGATTATGCTACAGCGTTATTTTATTTACGGAAATTTTTGGGTTGCCCCTGGAGTCAACGACCAGACCCCTTGCAGCATTTGAAGTTGAACTTCACTTTGCACTCCCTCAAAGCGACGTTATTGTCGTGGGGACCACAGCTGCATGAGAAGGTTACCCCTGAACAGCGTTTGTCTCAGGGACACCATTCGGATCCCAATAGCAGTTTGGACACATACTCACGTGACGTGGTGTGGACGTCCTTGACGTATCAGCGCAAGATGATACAAGAGGTTCAGAGTGGATGGCGTCCAGCCATTGCCCAGCATCGGGGTAGTCAGGCTCCTATGGTCGAACCCAAGGTTGTTTTGGAGAAATTTGTCAAATCTCTCCCACAGTTTGATTTTCAGTGGTTTCAATTCAATGCGTCCTCTGAGACACAAGCTCCAGATTTTTTGGAGTCATCGACCAGCAGTTCTGAGAGTTCATCGGATTCATCGTCGGATGACGAGGTTATGGAGCCTCGACCCAAGACTTCCAAGGTGGACGTGGTACCTTTGGATGTCGATGAAGTCCTGGTGGGACGATATCGATCAGTTGTGCATGCACTAGTGCGCGCCGGCGATGATGAAGATTGGCGTCCTCGGTGGCAAGGACAGCCTCTCAAACCTGCCTGTGGTAGGCAAATGCGTGGTGTGGATGCCGAGATCTTGGATAGACTCGACTCGACTATGCCGTTCTGCCAGCATGCAGCATGCAGGAAGGTTTGGCACAATTGTCAGCTCCTGCAAGGATCTGGATAGGTCCCATTCCAAGCGGTATGAAAAATCTTGCGCTTGGCGTTTTTGCCAACGGGTCGGTGACCTGTTGGGTGCAGTCGGTTTTCCCTGGTAGGGTTAACCGAGTAGGTCCATATTGGGTACTTTTTGCGTTATTTTCCCCTCTTTTTACTCGGGGAGGGATTCAGATTCTTTGTACCATAGGGGATGGTATCCCCTAACATGTCAACGGTGTTGGCATCACATTTCAACCGGTGGTTGAAGGGTTGCTCACGGTGTGAGTTGAAATGACAGGTTGTCATGTTATATTCAACCGGTGGTTGACTATGGACTCACGGTGTGAGTGCCACAATGACCGGTGGTCATTCAGCTTCTCAACCGGTGGTTGAGGTTATTAGCTCACGGTGTGAGTCTTACATTGACCGGTGGTCAATTCATCATTTTTCAACCGGTGGTTGAAGCTGCACTCACGGTGTGAGTGACGTGTTATATCGTCATGGTTGCCGTCGGTGATGGCTCGAGTGAACCCGGTGGGTCAACAATCAGTTGTGCAACAACATGCACTTATTTTAGGGGTTCCACTATGGAGTATCCACCCCTTTCATGGTTGGTCAAACGTCAAATGGCGCTGTCAAGGTTTTCTTTTGCAAGTTTTTGCTTTTCCCCTCAACATAAGGGATACTGTTTGTGGTTCGTGGATTCTAAGCTATTTTCTCCTTTGTCTACGTGGTGGTGCCATGGCGTCTGACAATTTGGAAGATGTTTTGATACAGAGTGGGGTGGACTCGGCCCTCACGAGCTCACTCATGATGGAGGGGTGGTCCTGTCAATCGTTTCGCATGGCAGCAGCTGACATTCATGGATTTGAAGATGTTCTCCAGGAATGGTCGTCTTCTACTCCTTTGTCAGTATTCCAAAAGGCGTGCCTCCGCACGGCATTTCAGTCACTCCAACCTCAACAAGGACCTAGTGCATCGGCTTTGTCAACCCCAACATTGAGCACTACCACGCCAGCCGGGTCTTGGGCAGAAGCCTTTCCTCCCAAATTGGAGAATGCCGTGTTGCAGGCGATGAAACAAAAATTCATGGCCAACTATCCATCGGAGTTGATCCATGCAGACCTTTTTCCGTCGACCAGATTTGTGAGCCTGGTTCATGACCAGCTCTCCAAGAAGGTTTGGAAATGGGTGCCATGGAAGTATCGCATCTCGCTCACCAGGTCAGAGGAGATTTCTAGCAATCGAGCTCAGAAGATGCCAAAAATTGACCACTTGGGGTTACACTCCTTATTATTTGATGATCCTCCCTCAATCGACGTGTCCAACAACGCCACGGGGGTGAACTCGATTCGCAATATGCTCGAGGTTCATGATCGGGCCATTGCCTTGTGCCAAGGCGCTCACCTCGCCAATCTCAAGGCCTATACCCACAAATTCATCGGGTTTTTGACCGCCAAGTATGATGGAGATTTACGTAACCCCAGTGTATTGGAGGCTCAACATGCGGACCAAAAAATTTGGACAGTCATTGCCGAGCTCATGGAACGAGGATGGAACATGGATGATTGCTTGCATGAAATGACGAATTTACGTCATGACCTACCAAGTCTCCTTCAACCACGACCTCGCGTGTTCAAGCCACTCCCATCACCATCTTCTCAGACAGCTTCCCCTCGTGGTGATGGACCGAAAGGCAAAGGCCAAGGGAAGTCAAAGGGCAAGCAGAATTCCGGGAAATCCAAGGGCAAGGTCCAATGGCTCACGGAGATTCAAAGGGATGGTGGTTTCAAGCAACTCTGCATGCGATATCAGGTGGGCAAGTGTCAGACTCCCAACTGTGGCTTTCAGCATTTGTGTGCGTACCCAGTTGATGGAAAAGCCTGTGGCAAAAATCATGGGGCGATGTCCCATTTTGCCACCCCGCACTGACTCCCCGAAGGGGACTGTGACCCAGGTTTCACCATGCATGATCCATTCAATGAGATTGACTCCGTGGAGACTCTCCCAGTGCATGACGTGGACCCAGTTCAAGACTTTGCTCCACCTAGTGATAGTTTTACCCGGGGCCGTTTGTCCCAACCCGAGCAGGCGAATGCGGAAACAGATATCACTGCCACCGTCCCCGTCACAGCGGAATCCTTGGTTTCCTCTACGTCAATTCCACCAACCATTTCAACTTCAATTTTAAAAACAGTTCCCTCAGGCAAATTTTTCTCGATGTTTGTTCAGGTGTTACACGTCCGTTATCGACAGCTGTATTGGAGCATGGCCACTCAGTTCTTTCTTTTGATGTTTTATTGGATTCTTCTATGGATATTCTATCAGATGCGGCCTATGAGGATCTGTTGCGTGTCGCATCCAGTGGTCAGGTTGGTTATGGAGCGGCCAGCCCTTCCTGCTGTGAATACAGCAGACTCAAACTTCGAGATGATGACGGTCCCAAGGCTCTACGATCACCAGAGCACTTGTCCGGTCTGCCCAATCTCACACCCTGGGAACTGCAACGTGTCCAAGAGAGCTTTATGATGCTCTCTCGCTGCGTTGAGGTCCTCACCCTGGTTTTTCAAGCAGGCGGGCACGTCCATCTTGAACAACCCTTGAACGCCATGTCATGGTCAGAGAAGGTAGTACGCCAATTTCTGCAATTGATTGGGGCTTCCTGTATCAACGTGGCAGCTTGCGCCTATGAGATGGATGTTTACAAAGCCTGGATGTTTGCTTCGAGTTTTACAGGTCTTCGACCATTAGGCTGCATTTGTCAACATCCCCCTAATTCTCATGTTCGTCTTCAAGGTCTCCGAGACGATTCTGGTGCTTTTGCCAGTCGGGCGACGGCACAATACCCACAGAAACTGGCACAAGTATTTGCCAACCTTGTGGCCCCATTACTGGACACATCAGCGTTGGACCTACACTGGTCATCTTTGGATGCCCTCATGCCCACCAAGCAACTGTCGGATTATCCATTTTCGCAAATCGATGGGGGTGGAGCTTTTTCCCACCCGGACTGGAGTCAGGATAATCGTCAAGAACACGACTGGTTCAAGACTCTTCGTACTTCGTGGATGAACAGGATCATCTCTGAGCGGTTGGATAAGATCCTACTTGCGCATGTGGCTTCGGGCAACCCGTCACCGCCTTTTCGGTGGAAACCCTGACCCCATTCAAGGATGATCTGGAGAAATTCTTGGAGGCACATGGACATACACCAGATTGGTCAGTTCGACAACATCAACCAATACATCTTCATATTTTACATTCTTTCCAAAAGATTATGCATGACGTCGATTTTACATTATTACCCAGTCTATTAGAAGGTGTTCGAACTGGTTTTTCCACAGCGATTCCTCCGTCGGGTATTTTTCCACCCAAAGAACGTACGGACATAGAACCCGATCCATTGTCAGCTCACCTCTCCAACTGGCAGAGCGCTGAAGAAGATCTACCACTCACCCGAGAACTGGTTCAGGAAGAAATTGACAAGGGTTGGGTTTTTCCGTATAAAGGTTCTTTGGAAGAAGCACAACAAGAATATCCGGCCGGAGTTGCTATTGGAAAATTGGGCGTGGCTCGCTCGGATATTCGAGCCCCCCGATTAGTTGTAGACTCCAGCGTATGCGGCCTCAACGGTCGGTGTATCATACCTGAGAGGTCCACCCTCCCGACTGCCAAGGAGGTGTTACGTAGCTACCCTCTACGTCAGTGTCAGAGGAATCTAATGGGCTTTTCTTTAGACGTTAAGGCTGCTCATAAAAGAATAGTTCTTCATCCGGACGAATGCGGATTGGTGGGCTTTTCGCTAGAAGGACAGCTTTTCTTCTATAGAGTTACCCCATTTGGTGCAGTTTTCTCTGCCTTTTGGTGGGCGAGATTGGGTGGCCTCCTTCTCCGTATCTTTCACCATTTGATCTGGTTGAGTCACGCTGGATTTCTATATGTGGATGACTTCTTATTCTTTATGGAAGCCAACATGATGCCGCTGTCAGCCACATTGTTGTGTATTTTCTGCCAGCTTTTGGAAATTCCTATCAGCTGGAAGAAGACGGCCATGCACTCTTCCATTGACTATATTGGCTGGAAATTCAATTTCAATGCAGGTATCGTGACAATCCCCATTGAAAAGATCCTCAAACTCCGAGGATACATCGAACATCTTATTTCCCAGCCACGAACTACTCGTAAGTCTTTGGAGAAACTTATTGGCCTGGCAATGTGGATTACTCAATTATTTCCACTCATGCGGATCTGGATCCACTATTGGTACCACGACCTCTACACCATCCCGGCGACACATTTCAGTATTGATGCTGGTACATGGCCTCGCATTCATCAATATTTAACACCTACTTTGACTTTTCATACAGCACCTTTGGGCTCCGCTATACCTATTTCAGGTAAGCTCATTGCAGTTCGACATCAAGCGGTATCCTCATTGGCGGATCTGACATCGTTACATATCAAAACAGATAACAGGATTTGGCTAAGGATTATCAATCCGAATTCCTCCAAACGCAAACTTCGTCCTGATTCTCTTCGCATTTTGAAGTTATTTGAACATTGGCTGATGGGTGTTTCTCCATCTCGACCAATGAGAGCGAAGCCATATTGGAATGGCGTTGCGGCAGCCGATGCATGTGCATCGGGTTCCTATTGCCAAATTGGAGGTTTCATCCGTCATCCTTCAGGAGTCCAATTTTGGTTTTCTGAGAAATTTTCCCATGCTGATTTTGACATTTTGTCAATTCATTTGGACCCAAATATGCAACGAAGCATTGCTTCTTTTGAAACTTTAGCCCAAATTGCTTTAGTTTGGCTGGTGGCCACATCTTTTCCCGGTTTTCGTATTCCTATTTGTGTGAAATCCCTGAGCGACAATACGGGAGCAGAGAGCGTGAGCAACAAATTATTCACTACGACTCATCCTCTATGTCTCTTTGTCGAGATCCTCACGTGCCTGGCTTCGACAACGGGTATTGAATTGGATGTGAGCCATATTCCTGGCGCGGACAATGTCATAGCGGATGATCTGAGCAGATGGGATTTTTCCACTCCCATCCCACATGATTTTCAACCAAGTGAAAGGATTCATCTTTCACTCAATCAACTATTTCGTTGTTCACCTCACCCAACATTGCATCCTCCTGATTCAAAACTCCTTTGGAAACTCCCACATCCTCTTGCGATGTGATCTGCTGGAATGGTTCTCACTTCTGGTTTGGGCGTGCTTGGGCGATAACCATTATACCAGATAGTTGTTGTTTGGGTTGTTGATGCCATCTGGTCGAATGGTTTCGATTGAAGTGTGGTCGAATCCAAACTGGATCCAACAGTGGGACAAACCATCCAGCAGATGAAAAGGGAGTGCGTTCTGAGATCGGAAGCGAGACATGGTCAAGCGGGAGGATTGAAGTTTCAGTTGTTTTTTGTGTTTTGGTTTGTTTGCGTTTTCTTTGCGGTTTCTAGATCTTGTCTCCAACAAATGAAAGTCCTTGAAGAACGTTTAATGTACTTGTTCATTGTGTTTTGCAAGGAACTTCTTTGTGTTTCTATTCCATTTTGGCTCAAGGACTTTCATTTGTGCGTATACATTTTTCGTTTCCCTCCCTCCCTCACCTTGTTCTCAATTCTTTACCACTATTGCATCAATAGTTCGATCTCGCTGTTTCACCCCATTTCTCTTATTGCTGTTCCGACGTTTGTTTCATCTGTGAAGCCTTTGTGCTCCTGGTTCTTTACAGTGCGTTGCACTAACAAACCGAGTGACGTGATGTCACGTTCAGTATTGTGACTGCTTCTATGACAATGCACAATCGTGCATCGGTGATGTCATCTCACCCGAATGGGTTGTTGATGCCATCTGGTCGAATGGTTTCGATTGAAGTGTGGTCGAATCCAAACTGGATCCAACAGTGGGACAAACCATCCAGCAGATGAAAAGGGAGTGCGTTCTGAGATCGGAAGCGAGACATGGTCAAGCGGGAGGATTGAAGTTTCAGTTGTTTTTTGTGTTTTGGTTTGTTTGCGTTTTCTTTGCGGTTTCTAGATCTTGTCTCCAACAAATAACAAATGAAAGTCCTTGAAGAACTCTCTCTCTCTCTTTCTCTCTCTCTCTCTCTCTCTCCCTCCCTCTCTCTCTCTCTCCCTCCCTCTCTCTCGCTCTTTCCTTCTCTTTCCCCCAAGGTTGCTTGGAGCAAAAAATATTGGACAGCGTTGTTCTTTTAGAAGGAGCGTCCATGCAATGGGATTCGGAGAGTGGACACCAGAAAGTTTTAGTGGGCAAATTTGAAGATTCAGCGGGCGTGTCTACTCAGAAGTTCCCCACAGTGGCAGACTGTTTGAAATGGTTTGTCCAGATTCAAGCCAAGAAGCAGAAGCAAACTGATCCAGTTCCCTGACTGCAGATGTGCAGTATTTATATTTCATTTGTTTATATACATGTACATATATATATATAACTTTCATTGAAATTGTGGGCATTCTAAGTTCTAGCCATCGTGAATCAAACAAAGAGCTATGTTTTTTCGTCCATATTGATGTACAGTGCATTTGTGCATGTTATATTTTTAGGGTGTGTATATATATATATACATATATATATATACATATATATATTTATATTTATAGTTATATACATATATATGTCGGTTCTTGCGCGCAAATTTCAGGTATTGATGCAGGCAATCAGCCTTGCTGACAAGTCCGGTACGAATGACATCTCGGCACTTCTGCCCAAAGACGGTTCCAGTTCCAGTGGTTTAGCCTCTTTAGACAACATTCTTGGCCACTACTTGTCACCTGAAATTCCACCGACTGCCCCGTTGCGCCAGACCTCTATCTCTGCAGTGAAAAGTGCAGTAACAACCTTCCAAACTTGGGCCATGAGAACTCCAGGTTTGGTGGGGGTGTTGTTTGGCCAACAAGGGAAATCCAAAGGCTGGAAAGCTTTGCGCATTCTTGTGGCACCTTCCTTTCAAGCCATTCTTGAGGATCACAGAACTGCAGAGATGTGTGAGCAGGACCGAGTACAACCTGTTGGGGTGACACTAGCTGGAAGCGCAGCAGCCAACGAAGCCTCAAGAGATATTGTCCGCACACATTGCGAAGCATTCATTGATGAGAAACTCAAAGTTTCCCTGTGCATCTATGCCACTTGCAACCGATTATATATATATATATATTTATGTTTTCATTTTGTTTCACAATAGCATTGTTTTTTGGAAGGGTTGGCAGGGCATTTGCAGAGCAACTTTCGGAAGGGTTTTTCCTTGGCAGGGAGACATTCTAAGTTGCTCTGTGTTTAAAATCCGTTCAAGCATGAGGTGCATCCGCACGATCCTGGGAGTTTTTCCTTCAAGGAGTTTGGCGGGGAGGAGTTTGTTTGCGTTGAACCGGTCTGGGGGCACGCCGCCATGAAGGGTATTGCCAATGTGTCTATGATGGAACATTTGTTCCAGTCAAACAGGGAGACCCTTTACCGACGCGTGCAAAGTTGTCCTTAAAGAAGCTTGCAAGATCTACCATGCACACCCATCAGGGAATACACAGAAGTTTCCGTTCCAAAAGGTAGGCATACCTGGGGATGGACGTTGTGGATGGCGTGCAATCTTGGTTGCTCAGAACTTGAAGGGTTTCCTGGCAATCCCAAGGACTGCCACACATGATGTGAGGGTTAAACTTAGAATGATGTTTTCGAATCTTTTTATATTGCGCTCATTTCTCCGTGAGAAAAGGTTCGTAGGTTGGGGTTCGATTTGCCATCTTCTTGCAGGAACAAAGCTTCCTACCCACTCAACCATGTCCAGAATCAGATTGAAATTGAAGAATCGAAGGAGCTCTGCAGAGCTGTTTGATTCTTTGTCCTCTACTTAATCATGCATTTTCTGGCATTAATTTCGGAAGCATTGACGCACCCACAGACACACAAATCCTATTATTGAATGAATTTGTGCAAAATAAGTATAAGTATGATCCAAATTAATGTGTCATTCTAAGTTGCTGGTTTGCGAGCTGCAAGGTGAGTTGACTCGGGAGAGGTTCCCAAAGTTGGAGAAGCGCATCAACAATGTCCTCGAACAGGGTATGTTCTCAATTGCGGATCTCGCATGGATTGCCCCATGCCTGGAAACAACAATTAGAGTCACAATGGAGGATTCCACGC